CCAATATTTATCAATTTATAACTTTATTACTGTGATATTTGGTGATGTAGTTGTAGGAGTGATTAATGTCCACCNGTCTTTTAAATAGTTCCCAACAATTTTGATCAAGTCAGTATAAAAAAATTTTGATAACGTTCTCCGACAGATAAAAAAAATCCCACTTTTTAATGGAAGGTAGATTGCCTCCCCTTATTTACTCTAGGCTTAACCACCAGATGGCTTCTTTTTACGTCATTTTCTGAACACGTGACCTCTGACGTCTTACAATTTCTTGGCGCCATCTACTTAAAACTTTGAAAAGTGAAATCATTTTCAGGTTTGTACAATTTTTTTTTTATCTAAAATGGTTGATTTAAACATTTATGTACTTCGAGTATACCGTAGCAGCTAACTTATAGTTACATGTATTTTCAAAAAGAAAGATCAATGTTTGCACTTACTTCAGTCCAAAACATAAGAACTTCCCCCGACATTTTTACTAACAGCAATAATATTACGAAAGTCAACATTGGGGTAAGACGCCCAGTTGGAGTTGGGGCAAGACGCCTAGGTTGCTACACAGTCATAGTTGAGTTTTTTTTTTTCTTTTTGGTCATTTTTTATCTATAGGTTATCTGCTGTTCCATTAACTCCTTCTACCGACAATCTGCTTCCCTTAAGTTCTTCTTGAACAATTATGGTTCGCAACTATAAAAGCAAATCAAACCGAGGCCATTATGGCGATGAGGCTTTAGCCAATGCCCTGAAGTTCCTGGAAGATGGAGGCAGTGTCAGGGGTGCAGAGCGACGTTTTAACGTACCTGCTCATACATTAAGACGCCATCGGGATAAAAAAGTTAATGTACCTGGAAAAAGCATTCTTGGACGTACTACAGTTTTGCCTAGAGAGTTTGAAGAAGAACTCATGACTCACATCTAAAATATGGAGCGGGCGCTTTTTGGTCTTAGGCCCAACACAGACGAGGAACATTTTAAGCGAACAATCTTAAAAAATTTTCACCGTCTGCGGATTACAGAAACACGAACAAAAATGTTCGTGAGAATTGTTCGTGAAATCAAACATGTTTGATTTTTAAAAATTCAAATAATAATTCTTTGTTCGCCGTCTGCGTTAACGACGAACATTAGCGCCGAACATTCATCGACGAAAGACCAACCAGCGATCGAAGCCAGACCACATGACACTCAAAATGGCGACGTCCAGTGAATCCACCAACACAAAATTTTGGACTGTGGAGAAGGAGCAGATTTTAGTAGATATGTGGTCGCAATCTGCCTGTTTGTTTATGATTTCTTCGACCGACTATTCAGATAGGAACAAGAAGTAGTCTGCGATGCAAGAAATAGCACAAGCCCTGGAAACAACCGGTAAATTTACCTCCTTTCGCCCGACCTCGTGTGACTGTAGTGTATTCTGTGCCAACATCGATATAAACTTTAAATCTTTAGACTTCCAATAAAAGGAGATATTTTTCAATAACTCAATTTTACATTTTCTTCTGGACGTCGCCATTTTGAGGTTATGTGATTTTCCGTTGCACTGGCGTATTGTTCGAGCTAAATGTTCGTCGTCTGCGGATAACGGAAAACAAATATATTTGTTTTTGTTCGTCGACAGAAATGTTCCTCGTCTGCGTTGGGTTTACAGCCCTTGATGTAAGACGGTTTGCGTATGATCTAGCCCACAAATCAAATGTCGCTCACCCTTTCAATGATGAATCAAAATTGGCGGGTATAGAATGGTTTCATGGATTTATGTCCAGAAATCCAAATCTTTCTATACGAAAACCACAGGCAACAAGTATTATGAGAGCCGTTGGTTTTAATAAAGTCAAAACCGACCAGTTTTATAATGTTTACGGCGAGGTTCTAGAGACGTTGTAGAATGCCTCTCCAAATAGGATTTGGAACGTCGATGAAACTGTTATTCAGAATGTACAAACTCCATGTCGTATAGTCGCTACTAAGGGAGTGAGTCAGGTGGCAAAAATCACTAGCGAGAGGGGGTTTAACATTACCGTTATATGCAGCATGAGCGCAACTGGTGAAAATGTTCCACCAATGATGATTTTCCCTAGGAAGAGTTTCAACGAGCAGTTGAGCGCCAACTGGAACAATTGGTAGAGTGTTGACCACGGGATGGATTGAACTTTTTGTTGATTGGCTAAAACATTTTATTGAATTTTCTGGGTGCACAAAAGAACAGAAACACATTTTGAAATTGGACGGTCACCTTTCACATAAAACGTTACAGGCGGTTGAGTTAGCACGTGATAATGGCGTTAGAATGATCACCTTACCACCACATTGTAGTCACAAGATGCAGCCGTTGGACAGGACTTTCTTTAAGAGTTTCAAAAGTGCCCATAATCGCCAGACAGACAGTTGGATGACTGAACACCCAGGAAGAAGGGTCACTGTTTATGAAGTAGCGGAACTATTTGGCTACGCTTATACAAAAACAGCTACTATTGAAAGAGCAATTAAAGGATTTCAGACCACTGGTATTTGGCCATACAATAAAGACCGATTTACCGATACTGATCTTCCGACTACAGCCAGTCATCCCGCTGCACTTTTGACAAACTCACCTACATCGTCTTCTACCCGGCATCCTGCTGTTCCATCAACTCCTTTTACCAGACCGTCTACTTCTTTTCCAGCTTTAACATCATTATTCACTTCTACCACACCACTTCTACCACACCACTTGCTGTTCCGTCATCATCTACTACATAAACTGCTGTTCCATCATCATCTACTACATCAACTGCTGTTCCATCATCATCGAACGGATCATCTGATTCTCAATCATTATTTACCAGGCCGCTGGCTACTCCGTCATCATCATCATCATCATCTACCAGGTCATATGCTGCTCCATCATCACTTGCTAAACTACCTGCTACTCCGTCATCATCATCATCATCTACCAGGTCATATGCTGCTCCATCATCACTTGCTAAACTACCTGCTGCTCCATCATCATCTTGCCACTGCTCCATTATCATCTACAAAACCAGCCACTGCTCCATCATCATCTACAAAACCAGCCACTGCTCCATTATCATCTACAAAACTAGCCACTGCTCCATTATCATCTACAAAACTAGCCACTGCTCCATTATCATCTACAAAACCAGCCACTGCTCCATCATCATCTACAAAACCAGCCACTGCTCCATTATCATCTACAAAACTAGCCACTGCTCCATTATCATCTACAAAACTAGCCACTGCTCCATTATCATCTACAAAACTAGCCACTGCTCCATCATCATCTACAAAACTAGCCACTGCTCCATCATCATCTACAAAACCAGCCACTGCTCCATTATCATCTACAAAACCAGCCACTGCTCCATTATCATCTACAAAACTAGCCACTGCTCCATCATCATCTACCAGGTCATATGCTGTTGCATCATCATCTAATGGATCACCTGCTGCTCAATCATTATTTACCAGGCCTGCTGTTCAATCATCATCTACTAAACCAGTTACTGCTCCATCATCATCTACAAAACCAGTTACTGCTCCATCATCATCTGCCAAACAAGCCACTGCTTCATCATCATCTACCAAACAAAGAAGCCACCGCTTCATCATCATCTACCAAACAAGCCACTGCTTTATCATCATCAATCGTTCCCCGTTCGACTTCTGAAAATTCGCTATTGGTTAGAAAAAGAAGCCAAAATGATATCTCAAAACACATAAGAGCCTAGATTATTTTGTCTGATATTTCTCCACAGCCAAA